TCTTTTTTTGTTGTTGCTTTTTTAAAATGTTTGTTGTTGTTTGTTGTTTGTTTGTTTTTTGTTTTTGTTTTTTTTTCTTCTGGTTTTCCTGGTTTACTTTCAGCCCCAAGCACCCACCGAGGCAGCAAAGTTATGGCGGGGTGTAGCACTTACTGGCTCGGGACTTTTCTTCTTGATGCAGGTATAGATCTTGTAGATGTCAAGTGAAGCTACGATGACCTCTCCACTAATAATATCCGAAAAGACCCAGGGTGGCTATGCCCTACGCAAATCGGAGTGCATTTTTTTTCAGATGTCAGTTCTTGAGCAGACATTGACGATCATGGTAGGCCTACCTTTTGCCTGTCTCCCTGATCAACTCGGTTTTTCAGTTTCATAATATTTTTGCAAAATTGTTCAGGCCATTTGTTTACGCTATTCTCTGTCGTTATCTTTTCTTGTTTCCCCCCTTATTTTCCCACACAGAAGGTGTTTTTTTTCAGGGCATTCGAGCTATTTAGTAGCCAAAGAATCTCGATTGTTTATTTATGATGATTCTGGTTAAAGATCTTTCACAACCTGCCATTTTGGAGAATTTTTCTATTGTTTTTCCATTCTGTCCATGAGGTTCTAGGTTTTCTCCTAAAATATAATATTTCACCAGCTTCCAGCCCTTTTCAGTGGCTTTGTTTATAGTCCAGATCTTGCATCCATACAAAACGATTGACCATACGTACGCATTCAGGGTCCTTATTTTTGTGTTCACTGTTATGTTTCTCTTTGAGAGTGAATGCGTGTGTGTCTGTTTATCTGTGTGTCTATGTATGTGTGTATATGTGTCTGTTTCTGTGCATGCTTATGTGTACATCTTTGTTGTTTATTAATAAATAGTGTAATGCTTGTATGTTTGTGTATATGTGGCGGGATTTACATACCCATGTGTTCACGCAAGCGTGCAAGCATGTGAGTGTGTGAGTGTGTGTGTGTGTGTGTGTGTGTGTGTGTGTGTGTGTGTGTGTGTGTGAG